CTTCGCAGTTTCTCGCAATTCTCGCAGCGACCTTCATTCCTTCATATGCCGCCTCGCGGTCTTCTCACTCTCGTCGTTCTCTCTCCACTGCTGTTTCCTCCTGTCCGCCGCCGTCGTCGATGCCGTCTGTCTTTCATTTTGACGGGCCCGCGGGTGCATGTTTGTTTTATGACAACGAAGAACGCTTGTTCTTATTGCCCTTAATCCGTGTGCGACCTTTCTTTGTGGACAAATTATTCTTAACGGTCGTCGCAGCTGCCTCTGGAAGGCACCGAGATGTACCTTTTTCGCGCAATGGTCAAAATCAAGGTTTTGTAACGCGAGCTGTGCCACAGTGAAATGGAACTAGCCTACCGCTACCAAGTGACTCCCCGAGCATTTGTGGTGAAGAGGGAGCTGAGACGAACGTAAAGAATAATTTGTCCACAAAGAAAGGTCGCACACGGATTAAGGGCAATAAGAACAAGCGTTCTTCGTTGTCATAAAACAAACATGCACCCGCGGGCCCGTCAAAATGAAAGACAGACGGCATCGACGACGGCGGCGGACAGGAGGAAACAGCAGTGGAGAGAGAACGACGAGAGTGAGAAGACCGCGAGGCGGCATATGAAGGAATGAAGGTCGCTGCGAGAATTGCGAGAAACTGCGAAGAGAGATAGGTGGTGCTCCTGCCCGTGTCCGGGTGTGGAGTCGCCCTCCTACTCGTCCGAATCGCTGTCCTCTCCGCCGCCGCTGTCCTCTCCGTCAGAGGAAGTAGGCGTGGCCTCGATCTTCGTGGGCAGCGGCTGGTTGAACAAGTCCCCGCCGTGGCCTAGGCAGCCGTGGCGGCCCTCGCCCCAGCCAAAGACAGCGCCGTCGTCGGTGCGGGCGAGGTTGTGGTGGCCTCCAGCCGACACGGCGACGACGCGCCGGCCAGCAAAGGCCTCGACCTTCTTCGGCAGCAGCTGCTGCTGCTCGTCGCCGTGGCCCAGCTTGCCAAAGGTTCCATTGCCCCAGCTCCAGACGGCACCGTCGGCGGTGATGGCGATGCTGTGGAAGCCTCCCGCCGACACAGCGACGACGCGCTGGTCAGCAAAGGCCTCAATCTTCTTCGGCAGCAGCTGGTGCTCCTCGTCGCTGTGGCCGAGCCGGCCTTCGCCTCCAAAGCCCCAGCTCCAGACCGCGCCGTCGGCGGTGACGGCGATGCTGTGCTGGCGTCCAGCCGAGACGGTGACGACGCGCTGGCCCGCCAACGCCTCGACCTTCTTCGGCAGCAGCTGGTCCTGCTGGTCGCCGTGGCCCAGCCTGCCAAAGTTTCCCCAGCCCCAGCTCCAGACGGCGCCTTCAGCGGTGAGGGCGAGGCTGTCCCCGCCTCCCGCCGACACAGCGACGACGCGCCGGCCAGCAAAGGCCTCAACCTTTTTCGGCAGCAGCTGGTGCTGGTAGTCGCCGTGGCCCAGCTTGCCATAGGCTCCATAGCCCCAGCTCCAGACAGCGCCGTCAGCGGTGATGGCGAGGCTGTGCGCCCACCCAGCCGACACGGCGACGACGCGCCGCCCAGCAAAGGCCTCGACCGTCTTCGGCTGCCACTGGCTCTGCTGGTCGCCGTGGCCCAACCGGCCCCCGCCTCCAAAGCCCCAGCTCCAGACACCGCCGCCGGCGGTGAGGGCGAGGCTGTGGAATGCTCCAGCCGACACGCTCACAGCGCGCTCCTCGCCCAGCGTGGAAGGGAGACGGGTCGGCGTGATCAGCCACGTCACGCCTTCGTCGTGGCCGAGGAGCCATGGATCGTAGGGCGGCGCCGAGCCGCACGACGAGAGCCGCCCCTCGTCGTCGATGAAGAGGCTGTGCTGATGGCCTGCCGCAGCCCTCGCCGGCGGGTTGGACTCGCGCAGCAGCGCCGAACAGCACAGCCACCGCACGGCGCAGCTTTCGCCGTCTGGCTGCGCCGGCAGCTCGAAGCCGCGCTCTTGCGCCCACAAACGGATGCCCTCCGCCGCGAGAGAGGCGTGGAAGAGCAGCGAGACGGCCGCGACACGCGCGATATCGACGGGGTCGCAGCGAGAGATGACGCGCACGAGGAGGTCCGTGGGGAGGTCGAGGAGGCGGGTGGGCGGCGGCGCGTCTGGCGACGGCGCGGCGGTGGCGGCGGGGGCGAGGCGGCGCGAGCGGCGGCGCTGTGGGGCAGACATCGCGAGAAAAAGATTTCATCAGCGGAACTCTCTCGCACAGCACACAGGTTCGACATACATACGTTTTTGTTTGTCATACGTTCGACACAGGATTTTACAAGCCCAGGATATCTTCCTCAGAGTCGCTCCTGAGTGGGACGACCGCGAGGTGGCATGAAGGTTGCAGCGAGAATTGGAGAGAGACTGCGAAGAGAGATAGGAAGAGGCAGACTCCCTAGGGTGGGCGACGGCTAGCGCACCACACACCTCTCCTTAAAATCCCTGTGTGGTGGCGGCGTTCCGTCCTCCCATCCCTCCCTTGGGTTGTCTGTTTTCTTTCTTTCTTTCTTTAGAGTCGCTCCTTTTGTTTTGAAAAGGTTCAGCGTTCATTCACGGTTCAGAACCTGACGAGAGTCGAGACCTCGAGTGCTCGTGTGCGAGCCGCTCGCGGTTCGTACGCCCCCAGAACATCTGGAGTGTAACGGTCGAACGATTTTACGTGTTCCCCTCCGAGCTTGACACAGAGGTCAGAGCCGAGCGCGAGCCCCGCTACAACAGGAAAAGCGGTGGTCCGGCAAGAAGAGCTCGATGGGGAGCGAGGATAGGGAGATTAGACTCGTTTTGATTGATTGATTGATGGGAAGGCGAAACACAGTCCGACCAACGACTGGGACACCAACGCGGTATCGTTTTCCGCGCCTAATTATGCAAAAAAGAAAACACGATGCCAAGATGGTGCAGGCGGTGGCGATCTGCGCGTCCTCGGGCGAGGCGGCCTCGTCCCTGGGCAGCCTTTCCAAGGAGGCGGCGATGGCGGCTGCGAAAGGCGACGAGACGGCGCTGCTGGCGTGGATCGACAGCGGCGGGCGGGTCAACGCGACGTACGAGAGAGGCGGCGTGAGCGGCCTCACGCTGCTGATGGGCGCCGCCAACTACGGCCACGAGCGGGTGGTCGAGTTGCTGCTGCGGCACGGGGCTGAGATCAACCAGCAGAACAGCGACGGCGGCACCGCGCTGATGGACGCCGCCTACTGGAACCACCCCGCCATCGTGCTCCGCCTGCTGCGTGCGGGCGCGGACACGGCACTGCGCTCTGAGGACGGCAAGTCCGCGCTGCAGATGGCCAAGGAGCAGGGCCACGCCGCGTGCGCCGGGGCCTTCCGGCAGCACATCGCGGAGGTGACTGCGAGCCGGCGCGAGGCGGCGGGCGGCGGCATGGGCGGCTGTTCCTCGGGCGAGGCGGCGGCGGGAGCGAGGGCCGCGGCTTCTTCCGGCTCACTGGGCAACCTTGCCAAAGAGGTCGTGCAGGCGGCTGCGCGAGGCAACGAGGCGGCGCTGCTGGAGTGGCTCGATGGCGGGCGGGCCGACGCGACGTACGAGCAAGGCGGCGTGAGCGGCGTCACGCTGCTGATGGGCGCCGCCGACCACGGCCAGGAGCGGGTGGTCGAGATGTTGCTGCAGCACGGCGCGGAGATCAACAAGCAGGACAGCATCGGCATCACCGCGCTGATGAACGCCGCCAACTACGGCCACGAGCGGGTGGTCGACTTGCTGATTCGGCGCGGCGCTGAAGTCAACCTGCAGGACAGCCTCGCCTTCACCGCGCTGATGCTCGCCGCCGACGAAGGCCACGAGCGGGTGGTCGACTTGCTGCTGCAGCACGGCGCGGAGATCAATCTGCAGAGCAGCAACGGCTGGACCTCGCTGATGCTCGCCGCCCACTACGGCCACGAGCGGGTGGTCGAGCTGCTGCTGCAGCACGGCGCTGAGATCAACCTGCAGAACAGCGACGGCTCCACTGCGCTGATGATCGCCGCCTTCTTCAACCGCCCCGCCGTCGTGCGGCGCTTGCTGCGGGCTGGCGCAGACGCGACGGCGCGCAGTGCGAGCGGCAAGACGGCGCCGCAGATGGCCAAGGCGAAGGGCAACGCCGAGTGCGTGCGCGCCCTCGAGGAGCATGCGGCGACGGCGCAGGCGGAGGTGGCAGCGGCGAGGGAGGCGGAGAGAGCCGCGGCAGAGGCGGAGGCGGCGCGGCATGCCGAGGCGCTGCTGGCGGAGGAGGAGGCGGAGAAGGAGGAGCGCGCAAAGAGCAAGAAGGGCAAGAAGAAGAAGAAGAAGAAGAGCGGCGGCGGCGAGGCAGACAACGCGGCGCCTGGCCCCAGCGCCACCGCCGCTCTGCCGCCGCCAACCCCACCGCCAGCCCCATCTCCTCCGCCCGCCGACGCAGCCGCCATCGCCGCGGCGGACGAGGCGCTGCAGAAGGCCGTGGCCGCTGGCTCGTACGAGGGCGTGGCCAGTGCGCTGGAGGCGTGCAGCAGCCTCGCGAGCCCGGCGGTGCTGGCGGAGGCGAGGCGCGCGCGCGACAAGCTCAAGGAGGCGCGGAAGAGGGACAGCCAGCGGCTGCGCAAGGCGCATGGCGCGGCGATGGGCGCGCTCAAGTCGCTCGACACAGCGGACAGCCCCTCCGCGCTGCGTGCGGGCATCGCCGCCGCCAAGCCGCTCGTGGGCGTGCTGCCTGCCCTAGACGAGGAGGTTAGCGCGGCGGAGTCGCGGCTGGCAGAGCTGTCTGTCGCCGCGACGGAAGAGGCGGCTGTTGCCCGGCCCGTCGAGATAGCCCTGTCGGACCTCGCCGCGGCTACCGACGGGTTCGCCGACGGGAAGCTGATTGGCAGCGGCGGCTTCAGCCACGTCTACGAGGCTTCGGCCGACCTCCACCTCTCCCTCGCCGCGCCTCCGCAGCTGCGCCACTTGCCGCTCGTCGTCAAGCGGGCAAAGTCGGGCCAGTCGGGCGGCTTGTCGCGGGCAGAGCTCGAGGTCAAGCTTCTCAAGGCGGTGAGCCACCCGCACTTGCTGCCGCTGCTCGGCTACTGCCTCTCGCCCGACGGCGTCTGCCTCCTCTCGCCGCTGATGCGCGGCGGCTCGCTCGAGGCGCGGCTGCGTATCTCGGATCCCGACCGCGCTGCGCAGCTCCGGCGGCTGGGCATGGCGGAGCCGCCGAGGCCGCTGACGTGGCGGCAGCGCGTTCGCATTGCTTGCGAGGCGACCGAGGCGCTCGTCTACCTCCACTCGAAGGGCATCGTGCACCGCGACGTCAAGCCGGACAACATCCTGCTCGACGAGAAGCTGGCCGCCGTCCTCGCCGACACGGGCTTCGCCAAGGACCAGCGTCCCGACGCGTCTGTCCGCTGCCGCTCGACCGCCCTCTACATGTCCACGGGCTACCTCTGCCCCTCCATCTCCAAGGGGGGCGAGTATTCGAGCAAGACGGACGGCTACGCCATCGGCATCACCCTCCTCGTCTGCCTCACCAACCGGTCCGAGGTGCAGCTCATCGACCGGTGCGAGGACGAGTTCGAGGAGGACTGGACCGACATCGACGCGGCGAAGCTCGCAGACGTGGCTGCGGGCTGGCCAGCCGACACGGCACGCGCTGTCAAGGATCTCGCGAAGGCGGGAGACGGGCATAAGAGCCTCTGCCACGACAGCCTGCGCAAGCGGCCCACGCTGCCCGAGGCGCTGCTAGCTCTCCGGGCGCTGCTGTCTGGCGCGCAGGGCGGGGCGGGGGTGGAGGAGGCTGCGCCGGCACCTGGAGACGAGGCCGCTGCGGCAGCCGCTCGCACCACCGGCTACGAGCCTTCGCCGCTCTCGGTGCAGGTGCGCGGCATGCGCACGGGCGGCGACGCGCAGGCGCGCATCCAGGACAACATGCTGCTCGCCTTCAAGACGCTGATGCCGCGCCTCGACGCCGTCTACGCCTCGCGCTCGGCGGCGGCGCCCGACGGCTTCGAGGAGCGCATCAACTTTTGGCACCGCGAGTGCGGCCTGCCGACCGAGCTGCGGAGCCAGCTGCACTCGCTGCGCATATGGGCGAACGCGGCGAGGCACCACGACGCGGCGAGGTGGAGGAGGGACGGGCCGCGCAGCGAGGGGGAGGCGTCGCGGCTCGTGGCGGCGGTGACGGAGGCGATCGGGGCGCTCGAGGAATGACCATACGCGTGAGGGGATTGGAAAAAAGATGGACTGCGGCGGCGGCGGGGGGGACGGGCGAAACTTGGGCTTGCGCACACTGTGCGAGAACACGCCGTTATTCGGAGGCAAGGTACAAAACGTTGACTGACCACAAAGATCCTTGCCAGAATGCGCGCGGGCCCAGCACATGGCGCGCGAGAGATCCTAGCGCCGATACGTTGATCGAGGGCGCTAGCCGCTAGGCGTAGGGCGGTGTGGGCCCGGGGCCTCCCATCTGCCTCCCATGCGTGCTCACAGGTCAATTTACAAAGATTCAAACTCCCATGTCTCTCTCTCTTGCGCCTGCCCTACGCTCGGCACACGAACCGAGATGCCGAGTTGGCTGCCTGGAAACATGCGCGGTGGGCCGCTGCGTGCACAGACTACCGATCCACGAGTTTCTCTCTTCTCGAGTGTAATGGTGACGTATCCCGCTAGCTACTCTTCGGGTGCTCTGGAGTTTGTCGACCAAACTCGAGGCCTCCACTTTCCGGGATCGACAGGTACCAACTTCCCGAATGAGTACGGTTGAGTAGAGGGCAGATTTGGAGAGATCTCGAGGAGTACATACAGATAGACCCTCCAACCATCAGAAAACTCCAACCTGATTGGTCGTACTGACCGCCGACAGATCACTCCAGACAGCAGACAGGCCGACGTCTGCACGCGGCCGGCCGGGCGAGAGGCTTGACACGATCCGACCCTGCGACCCCCTGACGCTGCTGCTCTAGCTATCAGACATGCACTGCTGACTGCTGCCACAATGTGCGACCTGTGCTGGCCCACTTGGCGGCCTTCCCGGTCAGTGGTGAGGCGCAGTTCAGAGCTGTCGATGGCGCGATGCCGCACTGGTCCCACATTGGTGACACGAGACCACCAAGTTTGCCGGTCCAAGAGAGAGGTACCGGCGCTGTCCTGAGAAGGTGCGTGGTCCCTCTTGACTGCCCATGCGCGCGAGGCTGCGTAGGCATAGCCTCGAGAGTGCCAGCAGCCAATCCGAGGCGACGCGCATTGCGCCAGAAGCGTGCACACGTTGGAAGGACACCTTCCTACTGACCGTACGATCAGGTCGTCACTGAATGCTTGATACTAAGGCCGCGAGCTATGCAGGTGATCAATTGTGCAGCAGGGCACGGTCAGTAGCGCCGACAGGCTGTCGCAAGGCGTGATAGCATGGCCGCCGAATTCCCGTGAAACAAGTAAAAAATCGCGCGAAAAAACCCCGGAAAAATCGGCGCCTGCGGCGGCCCGTGGGACCCCATCCCCCCCCGCATGGGTACCCTCTAGGGCCCCCGCGCCCCCCCAGAGGAAGCAAGCTGGGGCCGGTCCCGTAGCCGAGAGAGCCCGCGCCGATGAGTTCGGTAGCCACAGGTCGGCGGTTGCGCTGCGAGTTGAGGTGCGTGTGCTGAATCTAGCTAGGCACTATAACGTCGGCGTGCGGCCGCAGCGCGCCCGCCGCAGGCTCGGTCGGCGGTGTGCGCATGTCAGCGAAACAGAAATTTGCTCGTTGACGTAGTTATTACGAGCCATACGAGACTTTTCGAACGAAGACGAGCGAGCGAGGTCCCCCCACGAATGCTACCGTGCTTGCACAGGAGCCACCCTCTCTGAGCCGCATCCCGTCGGCACCGTCGATGGAAGGGGTATTTCGAAGAAAGTACGCAGATTAGTTCCCCCCCCCCCCCCCCCCGGGAATATGCGCCGACCCCGGTCTTCGGTCGGCGGGCGTGCAATAACGCGACACGAAACGTTTTGATTGCGTGCAGGTTCCCCACGGCCAGGCCACCGCGGTGTATAAGCTGTGCCAGCTCATGCTCGATCCACAGCGTGCAGCGCGAGCCGCCGAGCCAGGGCCACCGACCGCAAGCACCCCGGCCGATAGGGCGCAGCGCGACGGCGAGCGCGTCACGCTTTCGGCAATGCTCGAGCAGGTCTCACCCCACGAAGCGCCCGCACCTATTGCGTGCCCTGCATCGCACTTTGTGAAAAGGAGCTCTGCCCGCTGCACAGGTCGAGGCGAATCGAAGGCAAATAGAGGCGCTCGATGCGACCAGGTGCTGCCTCTGCAGCCTCCGTGACCGACTCCTTCAGGCGTGCCAGACCACCCCTCTTTGCACCGCTCATGCTCACGCCTCTCACCGTCTCTTGTCGTCCGTGCAGCAGCGCAGCCCGAGGGCGTCCTCTGAAATCACATCGCAGCAGCAGCAGCAGCAGAAGCGGTGGCGGCGGCATGCCACGATCGCGAGGTGCGCGCCTGCCGCTTGTCCCTCGCCCTTCCTCCCTGCGCCACCGCGGCATCGCGCTCACATCTCCCTGCGCCTCTGCCGCAGCAATGCGCACCCCCTAGCAGGCGGAGGGAGCAAGCGGCCGCGGCTACCCCCGGCAGTGCCGCCGCCGCCCCCTCCTGCGCCGTCTCGTCTTCTCTCGGCGCACCCGCGTACGATCCGCAGCGCTTGAGGGAGTCACGCCTGGTCGTGTTACGTATATGGGCAGAGTCGCTCGCCCAATGGATCGACCACCGCTTCGGATCCTCTCAGATGGCGTGCGTGAGCGCTTACAGGTAGCGTCTGTGCGTGTGCGACGGGTTTGCCTCCCCTCGCCAAGCTTGGGTGTTCATGTCTCGTGAGTGGGGTGCCGTGGAGGTGTGGAGTCGTGGAGACCGAGCGCACGACCAGCGACCACGCGAGCAGACACCCGAGACAGGACCTCAGGAGTCAGCACTGCATGCGACTCGTGGAGTCTGGACGATTTTCTCTCTGTCAGCTTTTTTGTTTTCGTTTTTCTTAGAGCACCGCACATCCTCTCACCATACACGATACGCACGCACCGCCTTGAGGGGGCGGGCATCAGACCTGCACATCAGACCGCGGTCGGTCAGCTGAGAGGCGCCAGCGCCCCCCCCTTCCCCCCGCAAATCGGTAGTCAAGTCAGTAGAAAGAAAAGGGCGCGGCGGTCGCCCTCCGCCTCAGATCTGGAAGCCCTTGCCGACGGCGCCGCTCTCCACGCCGCGCCGGTACTCTTCGCTCTCCCACCGCTCGGGCAGGAAGCCCGCCGCGTACGCCTAGTACCATACCTCCAGAGTACCGAACCCAGTGTGAGTTCAGGTCCGTGGGTGGTGCGGTAGGCCGCGTACGCCTCGGGTAGCGGCGCGCCAGTCACGTGCTTGGCCAGCAGCTCGCCCGCGGCGTTGGCGGCCATGATGCCATACCCAGACAGCCCCGCGCACATGTACGCTCCTCGCGGCCCTCCTGGGGGAGGAGGGGGGGGGGGGTGGAGGGGGGGGACCTCGACACGGCATGGGCATGTCCGGGAACGGTCCGGCGCGTGGGCCTCGCGGCGGCTGGACAGCAGGCGCACTCTCGACTAGATCTCGGCCAGATCTCAGCTCGACCTCGGCTCGATCTAGATCTCGGCTCGAGCTCGGCTCGATCTCGATCTCGACTAGATCTCGCCCGCCGCAGGGCCGATGAGCGGCAAATTGTCGGGCGCCTTCGAGTAGTAGCCGCCGTCGACCTGTTCACACCCGCCTGCTGTGAAGAACTGCACCTCCCCCCGCGCCCTCTGGGCCGCCGCCGCCGCCCCCCACCGACACGTTTGCCGTCATCGAGCCGTCCTCGCCCAAGTAGCCCCCGAGCGCCGGCACTGCACGCGACAGCGCCCGCAAGGTGAGCTCGGCGAACAGCGAACCGCGCAGCTCCGCCTAGTCCCATACCTCCAGAGTGCCGAATCCAGTGAGGGTTCAGGTCCCGTGGGCTGTGTGGCAGAGAGCGCCTAGTCGACCACCGCCACGACACCCTCCCCCACGCTCCCTGCGCCAGCGCGGCGGAGAGCGACCGCCGCAGCCCCAGTGCAATGTGGTGCTGTGCTATGCAATGCAGTGCGCCAGCGGTGTGAACAGTACACGTATGCACTAGTGAGTGTGGGAGAATCCGTGCCGTGCCGTGCCGTGCGCCTCCTCGGCTCCCGCGGCACCGCCGTTCTCTTCCCCTCTCGCTCTCTGTCTCGTCCTCTCTCTTCTCAGCCCAACCTCCTCGGGCGGCTCCCGCGGCACCGCCACATCCGCGTGGATCGCCTCCCAGAGCATGAGCAGCGAGTGCGGCTTCCCCGGGTAGGGGCGCAGGTGGAAGCCTGGTCGCAGCTCGGGGGTGTGGAGAGGCGCTGTTCAGCCGAGCGGGCCGGGGAGGGGCGCAGGAAAGCCTCCGGGCAGCGAGCCGGCGAGGCTCGCCTGTTCACAGCTCGAGGCGTGAAGAGACGCCGTTCACACACACCGGCGAGCCGGCGAGGGGCGCACCTCGGCTATACCTCGGCTGTATCTCGGCTGTATCTCGGCTGTATCTCGGCTATCTCCCGGCTGTATCTCGGCTGTAGCTCGGCTGCGTCTCGGCTGTAGCTCGGCTAGATCTCGGCTGTATCTCGGCTGGATCTCGGCTGTAGCTCGCCTCGAACCCTCCAATCTCGAGCAGCGCCTCCGCCTCCTCCTCGCTCCACGGCAGCGTAACCTGCAATAAGAACATACTCATCCAATCATACAAAGGGTACAAACAGTGTAGTCTCCCCCATCTTCACGGCAGAGCGTGGCCGGGTCAGTCCACACAACCATCGGCGCGTCGCCAGGCACCGCGGAGAGGTCGTCCCGCAGCACCGCCTGCAGCAAAAGAGGGGGCGCCCCCCACACGCGCGTCGACAGAGGGGGGGCGCGGCATGCGCAAGTCTCCTCGTCACGCCGCGGCGTCCTTGGCGTGCACTTCGTTCTGTAGCGGCAGCTCCCGCCCGCCGCCGCCCTCGCCGCCGCCGCCGCGCAGCAGCGCGTCAACCACGCCGGCATACGGACCTGCAGCGTCGATACACCTTCTCTCACACATCGCATCGTGCCCCGTTGTCTATTCTGTGTCTGTCTCGTACGGGCCTGCAGTGTTGGGCACTTCTCCTCGCGTCATGCCCCAACGTCTGCGGTGACCTTGACAGTGCCGGTCCCGTGTGTCTCGTGTCTGTGTGTGTGTGTGTGTGTGTGTGTGTGTGTGTGTGCGTGTGTGCGTGTGTGTGTGTGTGTGTGTGTGTGTGTGTGTGAAGGGGGTTGTGGTGACGCTCTATTCGATGCGCTCTCTGGGACGGGCCTGCAGCATTGATCACCGCCCCAGTCCGCACCTCCAGCGGCTCCGACTCGCCGGGCACCGACAGCAGCGCCCCCTCGACCTGGCCGTCGGACGCGGTGCGAACGCCTTGCAGCGAGGAGGGGAGCAGCCCTAATCTCCCCATATCTCAAACGCCTTGCAGCAAGGAGGGGATCTCCCCATATCTCCCCATATCTCCCCATATCTCCCCATATCTCCCCATATCTCCCCATATCTCCCCACATCTCCCCGCATCGCCCCAGATCTCGAGCACCTTGCAGCGAGGAGGGGATCAGCGTGGCGGCGCCCGCGTCGCGCGCCTTGGAGAGGAGCTCCATGCCCATCTGCTGGGCCGACATCCACCTGTTCGGGGAGATGTGGCGAGATCTGGCGAGATCTGGCGAGATCTGGCGAGATCTGGCGAGATCTGGCGAGATCTGGCGAGATCTGGCGAGATCTGGGCCGACACCCACCTGTCTGTGAGTCATTGAGTGCCTTGCCTTGTCTGGTCTGTGTGTCGTCATCCCCGTCTTGCTACAATCTCGGCTACATCTCGGCTGTCTCTCGGCTGTCTCTCGGCTGTCTCTCGGCTGTCTCTCGGCTGTCTCTCGGCTGTCTCTCGGCTGTCTCTCGGCTGTCTCTCGGCTGTCTCTCGGCTGTCTCTCGGCTGTCTCTCGGCTGTCTCTCGCCCCGCGCGAGATGCGACCAGCAGCGAGCTCGCGTCTGCCGCCAGGAAGGGAGGGAGGCTGCCCACGTACGCCTGCACCGCCTCGCGACCGGAGAAGAGCATCGCAGCCGGCCCATCGCCCCCTCCTCCTCCTCCTCCTCCTGCTGCTGCTGCTGCTGCTGCTGCTCCGGTCGGCGCATCATGCCGGTACCGCAGTCCGTGCGAGGCGTCGCTAAAGTGGCTCACTCCGCCGCAGCTGGCGAGGCCCGGGTCGGAGAGGGCGAGGGCGTGCTGCGCTGCGCCCTCCTCGCTCGCCGAGAGGAACCAGTACCCTCGCCGGTTGAGCCCGAACGCGTTGTCGCACTCGGCGGCCCGCTCCTCGAGCAGGTCGACCGAGCGCTGCATGAAGGCCGTCAGCGGGACCGATCCGGGGAAGAAGTTGCGGTAGCACTCGGTCGAGAGCGAGGAGGTGTGGGAGAGCGGCGGCCGGCTGTCGACGAGCAGCACCTAGCGGCGGAGCGGCAAGGCTCTTGGGTGGGACCGGACCGTCAGTGCTCGGTGTGGCGCCGCACCGAGGCGCCGCTGCGCGCGAGGTAGTGCGCGCACGAGACACCAGCGATGCCGGCGCCGCAGACCACAGCGTCGTAGCTGCGTCTGCCGGCCTCGGAGGCGAGCGTGCGGGCGCCGCGGCTCAATGGCGGGAACGAGGCCCGCATCTCTACCACAAAAAGTAAACACCACTTTCTCACAGCACAATTTCTTCTCAGCACACAGGCTCGGAGTCCACCGCGCACCGCGCTGCGAGCCTGTCGTGTCCCTTGTCAGGAGCAGGAGAGCCCCACCTGTCCCCCTGATCGTTCTTCCAAAATCCAGCTCGTGCAGGTGGGGACCCTGTCCTCGTCCCATCCCTCGTTTGGCGTGTCTGTTTTCTTTCTTTCTTTCTTTAGCACACAGGCTCGACACAGGCACTAGCTCCGAGTAGAGGGGGCGTCCTTGCAGTTAAGGGGAAACCTGGTACGCGGGGCCAACCCTCGGAGGCTTTCGGCGCTTGATACATAATACGGATACGTAATGCGTAGTACATAGCCCTCTCCGGCGGGCTTTCGGTGCTTGATACATAATACGGATACGTAATGCGTAGTACATAGCCCTCTCCGGCGGGCTTTCGGCGCTTGATACATAATACGGATACGTAATGCGTAGTCCATAGCCCTCCCACGTGCAGGCGCCGCTGAGTGATACATAATACGGATACGTAATGCGTAGTCCATAGCCCTCCCACATGCAGGCGCCGCTGAGTGATACATAATACGGATACGTAATGCGTAGTCCATAGCCCTCCCACGTGCAGGCGCCGCTGAGTGATGCATAATACGGATACGTAATGCATAGCTCATAGCGCCAATGCGACATCGGCAGCGCTGCACTGTTTGCTGAGACATAAAGGCGAAAACATCGTACGTATTGCATAAGACACGCTATGGACTATGCATTCGCGCGACGTCTGACCCTGCCAATGCATAGGCAGGACACACGGGTGCATATAGGGCCGGTACGTATACATAACAGTACTGACCACGTCTCGAACAGATCAGCCTTCTTCTTCAGCTGTGATAGTACTAGCACGCGCCAGTTCGCACCTGTGTCGAGCCTGTCGGCTGTGAGACTTGGAGCACTTGGAGTGCAGTTGGCAGCCTCACATCCAGGGACGGGGCGCGAGAGAGAGGCACGCCGGCGGAAGGGTTCGTCTTCGCGGGGCGGGGTGCGCACTGCGCGCCGCGAGGATGAGGAGCTGAGCCAGGGGAGGGTTGGGAAGGGGGGGCGAGGCCGGAGGAGTATGACGGCCTCTTCGACGGCCCATAAGCAGTGAGAGGGTGAATTCTAGAATTCTTTTATTTACTTCAGCTCCATCCTGTCCTTCACCGTGCTTTCTCCCGCGCTGTGGCAATCTATGGCGTTCAAGGCTCGTGCCCCCTCCACACCTATGGCCTCGCAAAGCTTGTCGCGCTGCCGGCGCGGTCTTGCGGTGGCACGGAATAGCTCGTGCCCGGCGCATGCGTGGATCGACGCTGTTGCGCCGCTGCTACTCGAGCCACAGATGACATTCATCAACGCTGGCGCCAACAAGGGCTATCAGGTCGCAGAGTTTCTGCAGCGCTTCCACTCAGCAGCTGCTGCTTCCGCCGGCTGGCGCACCAACGCGGATTGGCTGGCAGCGATCAAGGCGTTCCGGCCGCACGGGGTCCTCACGTCGTGTGGCGTGTGCATGACGTGCCAGTCGCCAGCCCCAGCCGTCCGCCTGCATGCGCCCTCAGTGCGGGTGCACGCCTTCGAGCTCACTGCGTGCAACCACTGGCTGCTGAAGAACCTCTTTGAGAGATTGTCTGTCCCAGGGATCGCGCACCACGTCGCCGTCACGAATCGCAGCGGTCTCGTCTACGGACCGCCGCGCTGCGGAGGCGGCGACGAGGGCGCCTCGGCGCTGATGCGCAATGCGCCTGGCCGGTGGAACAACCCGCAACCGGCCACCTCGGTGGACGACTTCTGCGCCAAGCACGGGCTGGACAAGGTGCACTGGCTGGCCGTGGACACAGAGGGCTTCGACGCGCTGGTTCTCGAGGGAGCGCAGGCCATGCTGGCATCTCGAAAAATCGACGTCGTCGAGTTTGAGTACCACGATCGCGTCGGCTACTGGCGCCCGCGCTTCGAAGAGAAGCGCACCCTCAAGAGGTCTCTGGACGCGCTCCACGCGGCGGGGTATGAGTGCTTCTGGCAGGGCAACGACGGCCGCCTTGCATCGGTCACGCCCGCGGGCTCGACGTCGTGGTGCTCGCCCGGCGGGGTGGGCTGGAGCAACCTGGTGTGCTCCAGCGTGCCGCGCATCGTCGCCAAGCTCCAGTCGCTCGCGGTGTGACCGTGCAACCCGCGGAAGTTTGGCAGGGGTGCGGACTAAGACTGGCGCGATGCGGAAATAAGAATCGCAGCAAAAGTAAGGAGTAAAGGTCTAAAGGAGCCGCCCGCCCCCGCACCTAGAGGTTAGACAGCGTCCTAATCTAAATCTGAGGATTGAGGATTGAGGCATCGCGCTTCAGTGAGGCCAAATTGCGCCAAAGTGAGTTTATGGATGTGTGAGAACGGTATACGTACGGGACCCCGCGAGGGAGGCACGCGGACCGACTCGTGGGGACTCTGCTGCACGCCGTTCCACACGTTTCTCTCAGCGTGAGCGAGACGTGGAAGAGTGCCACCGTCGGGTAGCTGGGACGGGTGGCCCAGAGCATCAGAGTACAAACAAAACAACTCTCTCTCAGAGTATTGCAATAACTGAGTAAGTAGGCCGTCGTGGTCGCGGCGAGCCAAAGAAAGATCGACTTGCATATCGATTTCGACTCGACGGGCGCATGCAGGCATCACGTCTCCATTGATTGGCCATTGCTCGCGCCTTACACGCGCAACGGGACGTGAAAGCCCGGGAGCACTTGGAGCACTTGGAGTGCAGTCATCAATCGCACGCCCAGGACCGGGGAGCTAAGAAGCGCAAACACTTTGCGGAATTTTCTTCTTTTAATTTAACACGTGTCTCGTCGGGGCATCCACAAGATTGATACCCAAATGAATACATTCGGCCCGCCCGCGTTCGCCATGGCCGTCATCTTGGCTCAGTCGTTCATCACCACGGCGGCGGCGACGATCACCGTGTCGCGCAGAGCTTGTGCCGTGGCCGCCGGAGCTTGTGCCGTGGCCGCCGGAGCTTGTGCCGTGGCCGCACCTCGGCGTAGCGACGCCGGCGGCTGTGAGGCTGCGGTCATGACACAGAAGCAGTATGTCTATCGGGCAAATCTTTGCCAGCTCAACACACACCGGCTGCTCACCTCCCTGGTGCAAACCTGCTCGGAGGATGCCAAGCTGCATGCAGTCGTCATGTCGGCGGCGCCTGGAGGAGGCAACCCATACCTGTGGGGCGTGAGGGGTGGCAGCTTTCGTGAGTGGAAGTTTCACGTCTTCGGTTTGCTGACAGATGCACGAGGTCAGCACCACGTCCTTGATCTCGACAGCACGCTGCCGTGGCCAACGAGTGGGGCAGCTTGGGTGGAAGGTGCGCTACGCTACCCCGGAGCGAGGCTCTTTCGTGTTGTCAGCGCTCCCCAGTTCCTTGAGAGTGGCCTTACCGCCAACTTCATTGACGAGTTTGTCTCTCTCGAGGCCTCTAATTACGGCCAGGTCATGAGCGAGCGCGAGTTTGCAGCCGCACTGGTTGCGGGACGAGCCTTCTAGGTAGGCGCCGGACGGGCCGCTGCTGAGCGCTGCTGGCAGCCGCAGGCAGGAGGCCAGCCGCATATTCCATATACACACAGGTGCCCGGAGCTCGCATGGGGTTCGTTCGGAGTGTATGCACCGCTCCCTGCTTGTGTTAGATTTTTCGCAATACCAAGCAAGTCAAATGATGAGTTGCGGGTGTGTGGTGAGGCTGCCGCGCGCCCGCATGCCCAGCCTCACGCAAGAACACATCACTGAAGCTTCGGTCTTCTTTCTGGCGCGCCTGTCAGAGAAAATTCAAAAGCACGTTCAGTTACAAGAAGGATTTCCTCAGCACCCATGATTCCGGGCAAGAACGCCACGTAACCCATAATGTTCCGGGTCTTGGTGAGCCTACTCTCGAGGCGTTTGACGCTCAAGCCGCTGGGGCCGGGGGGCGCCCCCCTCGATCGACCCTGCCTATACGTGAAGCCGGCGGGTGCCCCGAGGGGGGCTATGGGTAAGGTGTTGCTCGCGCTGCGCGCGGCAAAAAAGCTACCGTGTACGCGAATACTGACGCGAATAGCGCCGCTGCGAGCAGTGCACTGTACTGCAAGCAGCGGCGGATGGGAACCCGCAAGGCCCATCGGAAGCGCGTCAAATCATGCTTCATTCATGGCAAAGCTTGGCTCGGCGGCACCAACATGGCGTGAGCGAGGGTGCGAGCGGTGCGTCGTGCGGAGCGGGAGCGCGGCGCGCGGACGCGCCGGAACCATCGATCATCGGTACGTCCTCTTCCACGGCGGGCGAGAGCGCCCTCGGCGGCGGCGCGTCGAGCAGCCGCATTCTCCTTGGACCTCTTGGCAGCGGCAGCAGCGGCAGCAGCGGCAGCAAGCTGCGCTGGGCTCCGTCCCTTGCCCGTCATATACATACCTACGATTGGCGCCAAATGCGATGCGAACCGCGAATCAGCGCGCCAAAACGCCCCAATCCGCGCGCTGCATCAGGCCGTGCAAGGCGAGCAGCCGCCTCCACCGGTGACCGAGCAACCCGACGGCGGCAAGCAAATATTGCGATCGGGGCGAACCGGATCGTAACATTTGGCGTGGAGAGGCGGTGCGAGGCGTGCGTGGAGGCGCGCGAGCGGCGGGAGAGCAATGCGCGGTGCGTCGGGTGGCATGGCGAAGGCGGCGACGGCGAGGAGGCGAGGAAATTCCGCAATGCACCGTGAGCGTCGATTTCTCGGGCCTTGTGCAGGATCTCGTGGCGAATCTCGTGTGTGCATGCGTTTCATTTGTGTCGTGCCGTGTTCGCCGTGTTCGCCGTGTTCGCCGTGTTCGCCGTGTTCGCCGGGTGGTGCCGGGTGGTGCCGGGTGGTGCCGGGTGGTGCCGGGTGGTGCCGGGTGGTGCCGGGTGGTGCCGGGTGGTGCCGGGTGGTGCTGGGCGAAATCGGTGACCTGAGCTCAAAATCGCTCAAGAT